TAAAATTTGAAGCTTGCATACCATTATACTGATACATGTACCAGTATACCAATGTACATGTACCAGTATACCAATGTACATGTACCAGTATACCAATGTACATGTACCAGTATACCAATGTACATGTACCAGTATACCAATGTACATGTACCAGTATACCAATGTACATGTACCAGTATACCAATGTACATGTACCAGTATACCAATGTACATGTACCAGTATACCAATGTACATGTACATGTACCAGTATACCAATGTACATGTACCAGTATACCAATGTATACATGTACATGTACCAGTATACCAATGTACATGTACCACCAGTATACCAGTGTATTACATGTACCAGCGTACCTGTGTATATCCATTCACTGGTGACCCGTTGGCAGCGTCCTTAGGCGAGAGGCCAGTAGGTGGAGAGTAGCTTCCTTCAACCACATTTCCGCCATTTAAGTAACTTGAAGGAGGCACAGGGAACCCGTGGGGAGGGGAACCAGTTGGGGACATGAACGGATTACTGATGATGGCCAAACCTATTGAGAGGAAGGTATCAAAAATAATGGACAGTATAGATAATACACACACTCTCTCTCTCTCACCTTGAAAGTGATCAGAAAGGTAATCTGGTGATGACAGAGGCAGTGGCGGTGAGTGTTCAGGGATTCCACCTGCTCCTCTTACAAAGAAAGGCATTGGGCCTCCGTTATAACCAGAGGGATAAAATGGAGGAGAAGGCAAATGATGATCGCTGGGGTACCCGTAACCTCCATAATAGGCCATTGGATAGTGAGGGAAGAAGGATGGGTAAGTAGGTGAGTAATTGAAGGCAGCTGGACTACCTGCAGCTGAAAGAAAAATGTTATTATTTATTATTATTATCATTGTTGTTGTTGTTGTTTACCATAGTTGTGCTGGTTATAAGAAACAGCTGCTCTAGCTTTATCAGCTTGATGAGCCAAAGCCTCTTTAGTCTGAGCCACCTTCACCTCAACCTAATAAGGGAGAGGAGGAAGAGGTACAGTACATAACAGTAGGTACATGGTGTGTTCCTCTCACTCTCTTCTTCTTCAAGTCATGAAACTGGATACTGCAAACTTTAGCAGCTGGTCCAACCTTCTCAAATGTAACAAACCCAAAACCTAAAGAACATGAACAAGAGCAGTATAGGAATAGAATACATATAGTATAGGAATAGAATACATATAGTATAGGAATAGAATACATATAGTATAGGAATGAAAACATAGGAATGAGACAGATAGGAAATGATTGAGCCCTGGATAATTATACACTTGGCAACACACACACTCAGACTTCCTTATTAAAAATAAACTTTATTTAATCTCATGTTTACTAGATGTACATGTATACATGTACTAGAGTTACATGTAACACTAATAATGAAGCTACACATGTAAGGATAGATAGAGGAAAGATAGTATATCAAATGAAAACATCAAAAGTTGGAGCCAATTAAACAGGAACTGCACAAGTACATGTAACTGTACATCTCCCTCCCTCCCCCTCTCTCCCTCCCTCTCTCTCTCCCTCTCCCTCCCCTTACCTCTGTGTCTGTTAGTATGTTTATCGTACATCAACTGAACCTCTTCAACCTAAGGAGACAAGAATATCTATACTGTACTTCTACACAATGAACTAATTAATAATTATTAATAAAATAGACACATCCTAAAATGCACAAAGTATTAACAGAAGGTTATTACGACACTTTAAAATAATGATAATTAACAGATCCAATAAACACAATTAATTATTATTACACCTCAGAAATACTTTTAAATCGATACTAATAATTAGTTATAACTATTAATAACTATTAATAACTTACTGGTCCGAATACTTCAAAGAATTCTTTCATGTCATCTTCATCAGTGTCAGAACTTAAACCGCCAACAAATATTCTACGAATCTAAAAAATAAAATAAAGAAAA